CTGCAGGACCCCCACAGGAGGCCCCAGAGACAGCAGCCCCCAGAGGGGGTCCTGGCGACTGCTTGGTTTTTTAAAGGAAAAAAACTGCAGAGTTTCATCAGCTGAAGGGAGAGGTTCCTGATTGGTTGATATTTGGGGAACAATTAGGGAAATTCTTCAAAGTCATATTTTGGCATGAAATACCTGTGTGTCGATTATTCTCATTGGTGGGTGCTGAGGGGGAACATTCTGTGGTTTCTATGGCTTTGTCTTGTTACTGACAGATGGCCTGTTGTACATAGATACCAATAGTTTTCAGAACTGAATATCCTGGAGACTACAGGGAGGTTTTGGTCTCTCCTGGATTTCCTTTGTGGTCAAACACAGTTTCCAGAAACTAAACTAAGTGTTCAGGAGGCTGGGGGGGTTCTGGGGTTTCTTTGGCTTTAGGCTCCAGAAAGCTAGGGAGAAGGATTTGGTATGGAGTTTTTGGCCCTTCAAATACATTTTGATGTTCCTCTGACTTCCCACTTTAAATAATCGAAAACCTAAAATAACAAAATGGTTCTTTGGGTACAGGCACGTGCTGCCAAGCCTGATGACCAGAGTCCCATATGAGTTCAATCCCGAGGACTAACACAGTGAATGGGAGAGCTGACTCTGAAAGTTGTTCTCTGACCCCCATTGCATGTCCACACTGCCGTAAGCATCCCATACATATGCACACATTAGTAACAAAACAGACCCACACTGTCAAATATTGCTTCATATTGCAGGTAATTTTTAACTCTGTTAATAGTAATACCATCTGTTTGTTTCATTGAAAGAGATCCAGCTTCCACAAACAGTGCATTTGTTTGCACACGTCTGACCATCAGGTGGCGCTAATACACTATGAGTGCATCAAGGAAAAGCCATCCGAGCAGAACCAAGACCCCACAAGAGCACAGAAGCTCCAGCGTGCCTGTCAGCTGTATGAAACTCTCCCCAGCTGGGCATGGTCTTGTGACCTTGGGTGGTATTCGAGGATATAGAGTGAGGAAGGTTAACTGAAGAGGGGACTCCATCTGGGCCTCTTCAGGGAGGAGACTGTCCGTGATGTGGTTCTTTGGCAACACCATATTTGGTAAGCAGACCTGATGGGGGATGTCCTTCTGTATATATGTTTATCTTATTGGTTGATGAATAAAACACTAATTGTCCAGTAGCCAGACAGGAAGTATAGGCGGGGCTACCAGGAGAGGAGAATTCTGGGGAGGGGGCGGGGCGAGTTTAGCTGCCAGAGAGACGCCATGTAGCTTCAGAGAAAGGGGACTGGCCACAGAAAATGAAAAGATGTGGATTCCTTCCAGACTAATGTTTGATCAAGCCAGACCGCCTGAAACAGAGTACCAGGTGATCCTACATTCAAAACAGCTGGACAAAGCAGCCTTACAGACTACAGCCAGGATTTCTGAATCTTCTTCGAATCCCCCATGACAGCACCCCTTGCCAGCAAGAAGTAGTTTGGAAAGGACGACGCCCAAATTCCCAAATATTGTCTATAAATGTTTGTTTTCATTTAAATGGACTTGGTTATATAAAATAAATTTAAAAAAAAAAAAAGAAAGGGGACTGGCATCACCAGGAAATACATAAATTAATAGAAATTAATAATTAAGAAAGAAGTAACCAATAAGAAGCCTGAGCCATTGGCCAAACAGTGTATAATTAATATAAGCCTCTGTGTGTTTGCTTGAGACTAAACAGCTGTCGGACCAGACAGGACAGAAAACTCTGTCTAGTAAACTTATAAATAAACTTTATACCCACATCATTGGCCTTCTACATAACTGGTTCACTTGGCAGCCTCATCTGCTGTTAATCCAAGACTCAGCAGAGGCTGTCTAGTGGCAATACTAAGCCAAGGACCACCAGGGCCCTTGTTCCATGCTAACACAATCATACAGATATATAACATATGATTTAAATCACATTCATGTTTAAGGAAATAAACCTGTATCGCCAAGTGTGGTGGTACATGCCCGCAACCCTAGTGCTCAGAAAGTAACAAGGATAAGATGTTCAAGGCCAGCTTTGACCACATAGAGACTCCGAGGCCAGACTATGCTCCATGAGACCTTGTTGCAAACAAAACAAGTAAAAGTAAAATAATCTACATCTAGAAGATATTTTTTTTTCTTTTTTGTGTGTTTGTTTTTGCTTTTGAGACAGGGTTTCTCTGTGTAACAGCCTTAGCTACTGTGGAACTAGCTATGTAGACCAGGCTAACCTCAAACCCACAGAGAACTACCTGCCTCTGCCTCCACCACCCGCTCATAGCTCAGCCATTAAGGCTAGGCTCAAGTCATGAGGATCCCCAGAAATCACCAGGAAGAGACAGACCCACCAATGCAAATGCATAAGGTTTATTGTTCATCCAATCATGACAGGGACCTCAGCTAGCTGGCTGATGCAGCACCCACCAGAGGAAGTTAGTTCATTTTCTACTATCTGGTGTTTAAAGGCAAAAATCACAGGATTACATCTGTAGGTACGGGTTGGTTTCTGGTTAGTTGACATTTGGGAAGCAATTGGGAATTTCTCAAAGTCATATTTTGGCATGAAACACCTGTACACCAGTTATTCTCATGGGTCGGTGCTGAGAGGGAACATTCTGTGGTTTCTATGTTTTTGTTTTGTCCATAGATACCAATAGTTTTCAGAACTGTGTCCTGGAGACTATAGGGAAGGTTTTGGTCTCCCCAGGAGTTTCTTTTGTGGCCAAACAGTTCCCGGGAACCAAGTATCTAGGAGGCCAGAGGGGTTCTGGAGTTTCTTTGTGTTCAGTTTTGGCCCTAGGCTCCGGAGGCCAGGGGATCAGAAGTTTCTTTGTGTCATGTGCTGAGTCAGAGACCTACGTGTCTTTTCTGTAGCGTGGTGTCATGGCTGCTAAAGCAGGGGGCTGAGTGAGGGTCTGGTGCTTTATTAGTTTACCCCCTTCAGTAAGATACTTTTCTTATAGAACTATATCCAAATGAGTGTGTCTGTCGGGGTTCAGATAAAGAAGCAAAATCAACAGTGTTATAAGGGGAAAATGTGTGTGTGTGTGTGTGTGTGTGTGTGTGTGTGTGTGTGTGTGTGTATGTGTGTGTGTTTCTTTAAGCAAGGGTATTATGGATCTGTCCTAGTCTTATTTTTATTCCTATGATAAAATTCCCCAACTAAAAGCAACTTAAGGGAGAAAAGCTATGGTCATCATTGCTGGGAAGTCAAGGCAGGAACTCAAGAAGGTTAGGCATATCACACAAGAGCAGAGAGAGAATAAATTCATACATGCTAAGTACTCCACTTGCTTTTTCCACTCTTGCACCTCCCAGGCCCCAAACCAGGGAACAGTGCTGCCCACTTTCAGGTTAGGTCTTTTCCACCTCAATCAACACAATTAGGGGAAACTAAATCCCTCCCAAGAAAGTCCCCAGGCCAACTTGAACTAAGGTCATTCTATATGGAAACTCTCTTACTCCCCTGTATTATAGAGTCAGAATGACCTTGAACTTCTGATCTTGCTATCCCCACCTTCTGAGAACTGGGATTATGGGCGTAGGCTGCCACACCTGGATTTGTGGCTAACTGTGTATAGAACATATATACATGTGTATATATAAGGGAGTCACTCACACTCTGTTGGGAAAGTCAAGACAGGGCAGTCATGGTGACAGGGACTACAATCAAAGTCAGGAATCAGAGAAAGTGAGTGTTTGCCTGCTGCTCAACTCACTCTCTCCATTGCATACAGTTTACGGTCCGTCCCCCCCCTCAATGGTCTTGCCACAAGTGAAGTGGGTCTCCCCACATGAAGTAATGTAAGCAAACTAAGACTGCACCGGCACGCCCAGACACCCATCTCCCAGTGATTCTAGGTTCTGCCAGGATAATGAATGTTCCTTCTAGTTTTTGTTTGTTTGTTTTTCTGTTACTGTAATGAACACCATGACAAAAAACAACAAAGGAGAGAAAAGTTTATTTTGGTTTACATAGTCAATCATTGGGGACAGCAGGGGCAGAAACTAAAGCAGACACCATGTAGGAATGCTTCCTTGCTCACTGGCTCATGCTCAGTAACTATTGCATACTGCCCAGACCACTTGCCTGGCTGAAAAAAAGAAAAAAGGAAAAGAAAAGTACTGGTCCTATGTATGGTGGAGAAGAAAGTTTATTATAGATATGTGGGAAAACCCAGGCAGAGGCAGAGACATCTGGGAGAATCCAGAGTAGACATGAACCTGAGCCATTCAAGGACAGTCAGGAGGGGAGGGGGACCAGGTACAGCAGTCAGTGGGGCCCAAAAGAGAGCAGGATAACCAAAATGGTTGGATTAAATAGGGAAGGGCAGTTATAGGAGAGGGGAGTCCAGCCCAAAACCTGGACTGAAGAAGTTTAGGGTTGTTGTGTGATAATTTATGTTCTGACAAATGCAGCTTGCCTGGAGATCAGAGAGCAAAGCTAGTTGCTCTAGTTAACTAGTTGCTAGTTGCTAGGGTTAACTAGTTAACCATAGAGGTCAGGCAGTGGTAACACAGACCTTTAATCCCAGCTCTTGGCAGGAGGAAACCGGAAGATTAGGAATTCCAAACCAACCAGGGCTACTCGAGATTGAACCAGTCCAAAGAAGAAACCGATCAGGGTGGTCTTGGCTCACACCTTTGATCCCAGCATTTGGGATCTCAAGCCTTTAATCCCAGCTCTTGGCAGGAGAAATCAGGAAGATTAGGAATTCCAAACCAACCTGGGCTACTGGAGATTGAACCAGTCCAAAGAAGAAACCAATCAGGGTGGTCTTAGCTCACATCTTTGATCCCAGCATTTGGGATCTCAAGCCTTTAATCCCACTGTTTAGGAGGCACACGCCTTTAATTCCAGCACAATGGAGGTGGAGACAGGATATAAGGTGGGTGGAAACAGCACCTTGACCCCATTCAGTCTGAGGATTCCCAGAGGCAGGATCTTGCCCATTCAGTCCGAGAATTCATAGAGACAAGATGACAGCCCCACCTTCAGGTATGAGACTCCGCAGTGGTAAGACGTCTCTGCTTCTCTGATTTTTTTTTTTCAGCTTTCACCGTAATATCTGACTCTAGGTTTTTATTGTTGACACTCATTTGGATTGTGCTTAATAGGGTACAGGGTACGAGGCATGCTATGTCAGCCAAGAGGACCCTATATTAGGTAGCAACTGAGGGATACTGAGAGAACCTGGTAGCTAGAACCACTTTAATATATATCAAATATGCACCTCAGCCATTTGTCCCAGCTTACAAGACTTAATAACCAAGATAGTGATGAACGCTAACCACCACAAGCTGCTGTAGTAACATTTTTATGTTTTTATGATTTATGTTATGTGTATTTGTGTTTTGCCTGAGTGTAAATCTCTGCACTATGTGTATGCCTGGTGCCAACAAAGGGTGTAGGATCCTTTGGAACTGAAACTTCAGGCAGTTGTAAGCCACCATGTGAGTGCCATAAATGGAACCCAGGTCCTCTGCATGAGCAGAGGTGAGATAGTTTATTCTAAAGCCAAATATGAGTGACAATGGCCCAGGAACACAGATTTAGGTTACTCCAAATTTTACACTCCAACATGGTGACAATTTCATGAAGTTGTTATAATAACGGAACAAAGAAAGTCCGTTTTCAAATATTTCAAATATTGGTAGAAACATCAGGGGACTGGTATGGTTCTTTAAGAGAAAATGAACCCGACAGGCTCATGGGGAGTGGCACTATTTTGTTGTCGTTGCAACAAACACAGGGTTTTTCTGTGTGGCTTTGGAGCCTGTCCTGGCACTTGCTCTGTAGACCAGGCTGGCCTCGAACTCACATAGATTCTCCAGAGTGCTGGGATTAAAGGTGTGCACCACCCCGCCTGGTGGGAGTAGCACGATTATGAGATGTGGCGTTGTTCTCACTGTGATAACAATGGATTAAACTTCTGAACTGTAAGCCAGCCCCAGTTAAATGTTTTCCTATAAGAGTTGCCATGGTCATAATATCTCTTCACAGCTATATAAACCTAAAACCATGTGGATTGCAGCAAATCAGAAACCTCTGTTGTAGGTCTCAGATCCTATGGGAAGACATTCTTAGCTTTTAAGTTGGCAACAGCTAAATTTTAAGTAATTTTTAATAAAACTAGACTTGGGCCTTTAATCCCAGCACTCCAGGGGCTTAGGCAGTCAAATCTCCCTGAGTTCAAGGCCAACCTGGTCTACAGAGTGAGTTCCTGGATAATCTCAAAGCAATATAGAGAAACCCTATCTTGGAAAAACAAAACAAAAAGTTAAAACTAACTTTTAACTTTGTTACCAGTTACACCTTTAACAGTGTTAGAAAGGAAGGAAGTGTCTACTAAGTAAATTTCAAAGGAACTCTCTATGAAGGTCACACACACAGAGAAGTTGGCTGTAGTTGTGAAAGAGGCTGTGGTGATCAAGATTATTTGTATAGTCAGGCATCAGACCTACAACATTCCAGCCTCTCCACAATAAACGGTGTTCTAATCAGTCAGTCAGCCCTTGCAGAAGGTTCTGTGTGCAGGATTTTAGTTCACAAGATCACAACATGACATTTGTTTGTTTGTGTGAGACAAGTTCTCACTATGTAGACCAGGCTGACCTCAAACTTCCAGAGATCTGCCTGCCTCTGCCTCTGAAATGCTGGGATGTGAGGCTAGAGGGCCTTATAAACAGAAAGATTTCCCACGGTGCCGGAGAGTGGAATTCCGACAGACTCCATGTGTTGAGTTCTCACTTTATAACAAGCCCTTTTCTCTATCTGGGCATAGTGGCACACTGTTGGAATTCTAATAATCAAAAGGCAGTAACATTACTGAATATCCAAAGCCAACCTGGTCTTCGTAACAACTTCCAGGCCAGCCAAGGGTGTACAAGGAGACCCTGTGGTTACCTTTTCCCAGCAGAAAGTTCTCTTTAGCCTGCTAGCTTCTACTTAACCAAGGGTAGGAAGGGGGCTCTACCTTCTGGTCTTCCAGTACCCCACCCCTTTATCTTCCCCAACTTCCTCTCTGGATTTGTCTCTTTCCCTTTCGTTTTTATTAGTATCACTTCTTGCTTTTCATTAATTTTCCTCTTGCCTATTGTTCCCTTGGGATTTATTTGTAATTTAGTGTGCTTCCTAAATCCTTGTCGTTTGGTTTTTCAAGACAGGGTTTCTCTGTGCAGCATTGGCTGTCCCAGAACTCACTCTGTAGACCAGGCTGGCCTCGAACTAACTCTTACTATCAAGTACTGGGATTAAAGGTGTGTGCCACCACTCCAAGCTCACTTAATCTTCTTATTTGAATAGCTCTACAGAAAAGGAATTTGGAAGCTGGAGATATGACTCCGCAGTAAAGCACTTACTGCTCTTACAGAGAGCCTGAGTGCAGTTTCCAGCATCTACATGGGGTGGCTCCACATGGTCTCTAGTTCTGCTTCCAGAACCCTCTTCTAACCCCTGAAGACATCCACATCCACATGCACACACACTCACACTCACACACACTCACACACACCACACACAAATAAAAAGCAAACCTCCTTTTTAAAAAGGGCTATTGTATTTATGTAGTCTTCAGAACAAAATTTATTAGAACCAAATTCTCAACTCCACTAGCAAGAGACCTGTATCTTCTTAATCTCCCATCTTCCTTTCCTGCCTCACTTTATATATATTTAAATATGTCTATGTTCAACAGGACTTAACCATATGTCTAAAGTGAAAATAGAAAGCAAGATAATTGAACCTAAGGTGGTTTGGCTGGTGTTTTGAGACCAAGACTCACTATATATCCAGGTGAGCCTAGAACTTACTGTGTAACACAGGCTGACCTCAAATATCATATCCCCATGTCTTCCAAGAGCTAGATTTGTATTCAGACACAACACCTGGGTGGATCTATAGGCTTTCAATCTGGAGTCAGTATTCATACTGTGATTTTTCACTCATATTTTCTTTGCACTTCTCCCCAACTCTCTGTTCTTTGTCTGGTATACTACAAAAAGAATCCTTGCAACAAAGAGTGACTTACACCCAGAGCCAAAAGAATATCCTCCAAGAATGGTATGAACACAACCCATATCCTGATGCAGATACCCTGGAACAACTGGCCAAAATTCTTCATGTTCCAGGATGTAAAATAAAGGTAGGAAGCCAAGCAAGATGATGGTATATGACAGTAATGTCCACGTTTGGAATGCTGGAGCAGGAGTTAGGAACTCATCGCTGAGTTCTAGATCACTTAGGGCTGGCTACACAGTGAGTTCCAGACTAGCCTGGTCTACAGAGGAAGGCCCTGCCTTTAAAATGACACAAAGTCAGCCGGGCGCTGGTGGTGCATGCCTTTAGTCCCAGCACTCTGGAGGCAGAGGCCATCCTGGGCTATACAATGAGAACTTATCTCAAGGCATAAATTAATTAATTAGTTCAGGTAGACAGTCAATCTCTGTTGTCAGAATCAACATAAAGACAAAGGTTGAGCTCAGAAAAAGGTGGTGTCTAATGTCTAGACTTCACTGAGCAGACTTCCAGTTAGCTGGAATTAAAACAACCTGCTTCCTTCACCAGTGATGTGTTTGTGTTGAGGATAAAGGCAAGCTACACTGGCTCAGGCTGGCTCAATTAGATCATATTTTGGCATAGCGAAATATGTCTTAAGATTTAGCAAATACAGGAAATTTGCTCACCCATAATGAAAATGGCATATTAAAGTAATAGAATACATACTGCAGAATAAAGGCTTAATACCTAACTACAAGGGAACTGTGAGCTAATGACTTGTACACACTCCTAATTTGGGGGAGGGGAGGCATGTTTCAAGGCAGGGTTTCTCTGTGTAGCCCTGGCTGTCCTGGAACTCACTCTGTACATCAGGCTGGCCTGGAACTCACAGAGCTCCACCTGCCTCTGCTTTTTGAGTGTTTTTTGTTGTTTATTTATTGTTTTGTTTTCAATTACATATATGTGTGTGTTTGTATGTTATGTGCACCTGACTGCAATGCCTGCTAAGGCCAGAATGAGGCCCCAGTTTTGCAGGACATGGGTGCTGGGAACTGAACTCAGCAGGTTTTGTGCAAGATCAGTATCCACTGTTAACTATGGAGCCATCTCTCCATCCTGTGAGTGTGTATTTGTGGTTTGTTTGTTTGTTTGTTTGTTTGTTTTGACACTGGGACTCAAGTAGTCCAGTCAGATCTTGAACGTTTTAAGTAGCCTTGGACATCTCTGGTCATCCTCCCTCCCCCTCCTCAGAGCTGAGAGAATAGGCATATATCACCTTGCCCCTTTTTTGTGTACTGGGGATTGAACCCAGGACCTTATGCATGGTAGGTATGTATTCTACCAAGTGAACTATAACCCCACCCTAAATTACTAGTTCTCAAACTAGTGGCTTTTTTTTCTTTTCAATATCCCAAATGTAATTCATACACATATGCAATTACTTTGATAAGACTTATGTGAAAATGAAACTAAGTTAAATTTCTTCACTTATCAAAAAGAACATAATTAGGTGCAAAAGTGATGACTCAGCCATTAAAAAAAGCATACTGCTCCTGAAGAAAAACCCAAATGTAGGAGCAGACACTCCCTTTTTTGGCATGAGCACCAACACAGGTGCACATACCAATACACATAATTACATATAATTAAAAATCTTCTTGAGGGCCTGGAGAGATGGATGGTTCAGCAATTAAGAGCAGTAGCTGCTCTTCCAGAGGACCTGAGTTCAATTTCCAGTAACCACATGATGGCTCACAACCATCTGTAATGGGATCTGATGCCCTCTTCTGTCATGCAGCCATACATGCAAATGGAACACTCATATACATAAAACACATAAATTAATGTTTTAAATTTTTTTGAAAAGAATGTAAGTATATCAGGTGAGAATAGTAATATCATTCAAGAAAAAAATGTGGCTTTGAAAGAAAATACTAATGGGTGTGTGGGTGTGTGTGTGGGGAGTGCCCATAGAGGCAAAAAGGGGACATTGGATCCCTGGGAGCTGGAATTACAGGCATTTGTGAGCCGCCCAGTGTGAGTGCTAGTTTCCAAATTTTGGTCTTCATGATTGAGCAGCGAGCCCTGTTGACTAGTGTAACTACCTTTTCTTTCACAGTTCCATACACATACATGAGTTCTGGTTTATATGTTAACTGCATGGTTTCAGACTGAGTGTTCGGCTTTGGTCCAAGTGATATAAGAGAGATAATATACTTATCTCATGTATCTATACTGATTTATTATACAATTTACTCAAATTGCAGCAATAAAAAGTACATTCTATAGGAATATCTGGTGACTGGTTTAGACAAGAGGGTTTCATGGATTTGAACTAGCAGTAAGGACGCTAATTCTAAAAAAAAAAAAAAAAAAAAAAAAAAAACCCACAAGGCTCTGCCAGGATTTGAATTTTCAGGTTCCAGCTCTGCTTATGGCATCTTACTTAAACATTTTGATAAATTCACCTAGCAAAGAAGGTAGAACCTTTCAGTATAATTTCTAGATTGTCGTTAACAGCCTAAGTCTTCTCAAGTATCAAGGTATCAGGCCAGGTTCAACTGGTAGAGTCCTTGCCTAGCATACACAAAGCCTCAAATTCAGTCCCCAGCAATGCATTAAACTGAGCTTGCTGTTACAGGCCTTGAGGAGTGGAGGCAGGAAGATCAGAAGTTCAAGTTCATACCCCTGCTACAAAGAGATTTCGAGGCCAGAGTAGGCTATATATGATTCTGTCTTGAAAAGTACCACATTACCAAAATAAAACCTTTGACTCCAGTAACAAAGCAATCAACAAAGAGGTCACTGTGTAGGGATAGAGCAAGGTGTCTAGTCTCATCTACTGCAGACTCTGAAATAAAAACAGCCAGCTCACATCTTTTTTTTTCTACTTAGATTTGGTTTAAAAACAACAGAAAGAAACAGAAGGTCTTAGAGCAAGCCCATCCTGAAGGTAAGAATTCGATGGACAAGCACAGTCCCAAGTATCCCACTGAGAGTAAAAATAACTCTGTCATCTAATTCTCCTAAATATTTCTCCATTCAAGAGCTTGTCACAGCTTGCTCTGGGCTCTGGAGTTTCAAAGAAAACATTTATTGTGGGGCATGGCAGCTCACACCTTTAATTGTGGCATTCCTGCATCTCTGTGTGAGTTCAACCACAGCCTGGTCCATGTAGCAAGTTCCTAACCAGCCAGGATTACAAAGTTAAGGCCCCCACCTCAAGAGAAAAAGAAAAAGAAAAATTCCCAAACGATGTTCCCCAGTAGTCTGGAACAGGCAGATTCTTAGCAAACACAGCTTTGGATTACCGAAGAAGCCTTCTTTTCTACCACCCCAGGGAGACTCAGGGGGTAACTGTTGTGAGCATGTTCCAGTATGAACAGGAAACTGAAAATCCCCTTTTTGTTCCTGTAATCTTAAGCCAGACCACACCGAAGGCCCTTCACAAGAGATCAAGTGGGCTTCCTAAGGAAGGCCTTTCAGAAGAACAGGCTCCCTGACCGTGATGCCAGGGAAATAATGGCTATGAAAATAGGTACCGAGGAATCAAGAATTCAAGTAAGTTACAGTCAAGTAAGCGGTACTGAGTCACTGTTGTAAGTAACATTGCTCCTAAAGACGTAACTGAAGCTTTGGCCTATCTTGGGTGTACACAGAGAGGGCAAGGTTCTGGGTGGTAAACACATAGTAATAAATGTCACATCCCAGCAAAGGAAGAATTTTCGAAACTGAAATGCATCCATACAGAATCACAAGCAAGGAAGCTGGAAAATGTGTAATTTAAATCTCTCCCTAATTCTTTTTTTCTTGCCAGTAACTTTCTTTTGAAGGTTTCTATTGTAGGATATTATTTTAACTAGGCAAAGATGTGTTACATTTATTTATGCTGAAGAATATTACTTTAACTGTGCAAAGGTGTGTTACTTTTGTTATGCTGGCATAATATATATGAAAAGTACTTTTAAAGCTAAAAAAAAAATTGTCCTAACAAAATATTCTGAGACAAAGAACCTACAAGAATGCCACTGAACTCACTATGTGCAGGCCATCGACTGCTGGGCATGGCGCCTGTTCTTAAGAGTGGTTTGTATCCCCAGTGAGACTCAGGTTGAAGAAAACTAAGTTTTCATCTGTGAGTAATTATGAATTGGAGATAGCTTGTGGGTTAGGCATCCTCCAGTCCTGAAGATGGTGACTTCTGTGCTTGTGGGATAGAATTTTGCAACTGTTAAAATCACTTGTTTTATGATGTTTATATCTTGTTTTCCTCAGACATGGTTTGAGAAGCAAAGAATTCTAAATCCTGAGCATAGAGAAGAACTCGTGAATTTATCATACGGGACAAATGGAGGACCCCATTTCGCTGCTCAGCCACAGTACCTCCATTTGCTCCCTCTCCCAGCCTGTTGTTTTCCTTCCTCTAATCCCTGCTGCAAAGACCAGATTTATGTACCTGCCCCACTGGAATCCCAGGGATTTGTTGGAGTCTTTGGGAGCCCGGGACCAGGCACTATGACCCTACAGGCCACAGAAGCTGTACAGGAAGGACAGAACCTTGATGCCCCTCTGACTTACATGAGTCACTCGCCAGAGTGGCCAATTATAGGACAGGGTTTCTCAGATACCCAGGCTCCTTTTTGTTCTCAGCCTAATGCAGACCATGAGAAACAACCTGAGGACCCAGAATACACGGACATATCTTATATTATGCAATGGTGGGACAAGGGCCGCCTGGATCTCATTGCAAAATGGGAACCTCAGAAAGAGGTATAGTTTGTTCTGTGAGGTTCAACAAAGCCTTAAACTCCTGCAGGTCCTTTCTGTATGTGTAACCCCACAACACCTGAGAGGTATCTATGTTAGCTCCACAAAGAGGGCCTGATTATTACTATAAATGTTTGTACACAAGTGTTTACATGGATATGTTTTATTATTTTTTTATTATTGTTATTATCAGATATATGTAACCAGAAGTATAAATGTTGGGTCTTGTGGTAATTTGGTATGTGTTACTGAGGGCTGCTGGGATTATGGATATATATCATTATATTGTGCTCTTAACTTAATCTTTTACTGTTTGAAAATTGCATACATGTATGTGTTTTGATCAAGTCCAACCCCTACTCCCCTCCAATAATGAATTATTTTTAACAAATGTTATTTTTTTCCCTTCCTGAAAAACACAAATGATACATTTTATTATTTAAGAATAGTAATCAACTAGCTGGGTAGTGGTGGTGGCAGCGAACACCTTTGATTCCATGCCTCCACTCTGGAGGCAGAGGCAGGTGGATTTCTGTGAGTTCAAGGCCAGCCTGGTAGACAGAGCAAGTTCCAAGACAGCTAGGACTACACAGAAAAACCCTGTCTCAAAAAACTAAGAACAAAAGAATAGTAATTGAAAGCTTTTCTCACTGGGTATTGGTGGCTCTAGCCCATATCTCAGCATTCTGGAGATTGAAGCAGGAATATTGCAAAAATAGTGCTAGTTTGGCTACACCGTTCAAAGGCAACGGGGATGCACAGCAAGACGCTGTCTCATACCTATAAAGTCAATACTTGTGAGGTGGAGATAGGAAAATTAGGTCATATTTTGTTTATGATATAACAAATAAAGCTTGTCTGAATATCAGAGTGCAAAACTAACCATAGTCACAGGGACCAGCCAGTGATAGTACACACTTTAATCCCAGGATATAGGAGACAAAGGCAGATAGATCTCTGTGAGTTCAAAGCTACCCTGGACTACACGAGAGTGAATCAGTCTGAAAGAGAAACAGAGCTCACACAAAGGTGACCTCAGCACTTGGGATCCCACACTTTAACCCCAGCACTAGAGAGGAACACAAGACAGGAGGAGACAGGAGCTGAGGGAAGTCGAGGTGCTGTGGAACACCCCTTCAGTCTGAGCATTGGTAGAGGTGAGAACTCCCTAGTGGCTGGTTGGTTTGCTTATCTGATCTTCAGGCAAGCTACATTTGTTGGATTATAAAATATCACCACAAAGACCAGCCTTGGATACATGAAACCCAGTCCCAACCAAACAATACTAATGTAAAGCAATAATGAACTTTGGGCTCCAGAAGGTTTGGGCAGCCCCATTCCTCCATCCCTGCTACCTGTAGCTCACACAACTCTCTCAGGCTTAGGTCATTTCTGTCCACACCTACACCTTGGTGGTCAGATGTGCCATGGTCCAGCTCTTCATTGCAACTAAGCCTCCTTTTGACAGTGGATAGCCTCTTAGAGCTTCCAGCTCTACCACATGGTACCCTGTCTCAGTAGTTCTCCATGACATCCTCAGTCTTACATCTTTCAAGCTTTTAAGATCAGTCTCCTACAGACAATGCTTAAGACGTTGCCAGATCCTGCTACCAGCTGGAAATGTAGCTCAGCCCTCTTGTGCCACAGCTACATCAGCTTCTGTGTGCTGACTAGGGAAACACTTTGCTATGTAGTTGCTTCTGTAGAACAGTGAAACCCATTCATTAGCTTAGGATCTCCATTAAGTGGAACCTCCAAAGAGTGAGGTCTTGCCTCGGGGCATCCTTTATTTGGTTCCAGTGTAGCAGGGACATTTTACTTCAATTGTGCCAATCTCTGCCGGCCTGAATGCCAAACAAACTAGTGTATCATATCTCAATTCAACTTTACTTAGTTTTTCAGGACACAGGCAGAACAAAGCCAGATACTTTCCTAGAGTATCACACAAATTCACACTCTAACCCAGTTCCTGATAGAGCCCCGTTTCTTTCACAGCAACGACCCTACTTCTGGTAGCAATTTCTGCCTGAGTTTTATTTCTGTTGCAGTGAAAAAAATATTCTGACAGGAAAAGGCTTAGGAGAAAAGGGAGTTATGGAGGCTTAGGAGGAAAGGGGGCTATGCTTGTCCACCATTCATCATAGCAGAGAAGTCACAATAGCAGAAGCTTGAGCTAGTTCTATCACTTGAAAATAAAAATAGAAACTGTATGTGTAGCTGAGAGATGGACATATGAACTAATTTATTTTTATTTTATTTTATTTTTTTTTTTTTTTTGAGATTAGATCTCTTGTACACTAGGCTGGCCTTAATCTCAAGAAGTAGCTGAAGATAATCTTGAATTCCTGATCCCTCTGCTTCTACCTCCTGGGATTCTACCTCTACTGGGATTACAGGGTTAGCACCAACCATACCAGGTTTACTTGATGCTGATGATTGAACCCAGGGTCTCATGTATTCTGGGCAACCACTCTACTATGAGCTACATCCTCAGTCATATGGCCTAATTCTTCCCCACCCCCAAAACAGGGTTCTCTGTGTAGCAGCCCTGGCTGTCCAGAGATCTGCCTTCCTTCAATTTAGGGATTAAAGATGAGAGCCACTACACCTGGCTGATATGGCCTAATTATTGATGAAAAGCCCAATTAAAACATAAGTGGCTAAATAATAAATTAAAAAAAAAAAAAAACCGCTTTGACTCCAAAATTTAAGTTGAAGAACAAGTTACTGGGGAAAAGTATTTCTATTTTTGTTTCCACAGAAAATGAAAAGATGTGGATTCCTTCCAGACTAATGTGGTTTGATCACACCAGACCGCCTGAAACAGAGTACAAGCTGATCCTACATTCCAAACAGCTGGACAAAACAGCCCTACAGACTACAGCTAGGATATCTGAATCTTCTTCGAATCCCCCAAGACAGCGCCCCTTACCAGCAGGAAGTAGTTTGGAAAGAACGATGCCCAAATTCCCAAATATTGTGTATAAATGTTTGTTTTCATTTAATTGGACTTTGTTATATAAAATTAAATAAATAAAAAGAAAAAAAAAGAAAAAAAAAAAAGAATGGTTACTTCGAATAAAGAAACAAGTTGCTTCCAAAAATCCTAGTTGTTAGATTAGGAGTGATTTCAAATAGTAAGTGCATTTTGAATGTGGGCCTGTCTTTGCTATTTGCTTTTCTCAAAGACCCTTGTAGATGTGGCGTAGAACCACATGCCAATATTAGAGGCATTTGAGGTTTAGGTTACCTGTTTGGCACTGTAGAGTTAAGAATATTAGGATAAGTTATGAATACATGCATGTTCCCAGGGTGATACATTTAATCATTATAATGTTTGAAACCTTGGAGATTATGAGTACATTCATCTTTGCACAAATCCATTAACTAATCTATGTGGTGCTGGGGACCAGACACACTTAACAAAGAAAACAAAAAAAAAAAAAAAAAAAAAAACGTAAGTGGCTGAGTGTGGTGGCACTGCCTTTAATCCCAGCACTAAGGAAGCAGAGGTAAGATGATCTCTGTGAGTTTGAGGTCAGTCTAGTCTACAGAGTGAGTTCTAGGATATCAAGGGATATTACCCAGAGAAATCCTGTCTCAAAAACAACCCCAAAAAAGATATTGTGTCTTAGTTATTTTTCTATTGCTATGACAAAACACCATAGCCAAGACAGCTTATAAAAGTGATTTTTAGGAAAGAAAAACATTTAGTTTGATTTACAGTTTCAGAAGGTTAGAATCCAAGATGGTGGAGTGAATGTATAGCTGAGAACTTAAATCTGTTTTTCCAGACTGTTTTTCCAGACAGTGTTTCTATGTGTAGCTTTGGAGCCTGTCCTGGAACTAGCTCTTGTAGACCAGGCTAGCCTCGAATTCACAGAGATCCCCCTGCCTCTGCCTCCCATGTGCTGGGATTAAAGGCAGGTGTGTGCCACCACCTCCTGGCTGAGAACTTAAATCTTAAACGCAGCCACAAGGCAGAGACATGGAAGTGTTACAAGTCTTTTGAAACCATGAAACCTCCCTACTGACACCTAATCCAACAAGGCCCCACCTCCTAATCCTTCCTAAACAGTTCCACCTAGGGACCAAGAACTCACATATGTGAGATCATGGAGACCGTTCTCATTCGAACCACCACATGTGGTGAAGAGAGCAGCTTTGTCTGCACCGGACTGTAGAGGTACTGAGCAATCAGGCACGGTCTCTCCTGCCCCATCTTGCTCGAGGCCCAGTTTCTCCTTCACTTGCAGTGACATCAGAGATCTGACTCCATAGCTCTAGCAGAGTTCTGTATTGACAGGTCAATGTCAAGGGCCAACAAGCAAGTGAGCCTTCCCATATGCAAGTCTACTTGAACCCTTAGGTGACTGACTGTCTTTGCCTGTACATCTGGGAATCAGTTCTCTCACCATATGGGTCCCAGGGATCAAAATCAGGTCATCAGGCTTGACAGTAAGCAGAATTATTAGGGTAAAATGGGATGTCCAAGGATGACAGTGGACCTTAGCATAGGGGTTACCATGGAGGAAAACATTCTCACTGTGTGGGATTGTCTGTGTCGAAGTCTGTTGGCCACCAGTCCACAAGAACAACAAGACAGAAACAGCTACAGAAAGCTTTGAATGGCCTGTAAGCAGGGTAGAAGCGGTGACAGAGCTTTGTACAGCCTGTGAACGTGACAGAAACAGCTTCAGTGAGAAAGCTCAAGTGTGGTGATTTTGGGTTCATTAAAGCTTGCCTGGGGATTCAGAAAGCAAAGTCAGCCACAATCCATAGAAGCCAGACACACACCTGTAATCCCAGCAGCCAAAACTAGGCAGTGGTGGTGCATACCTTTAATCCTAGGACTCAGGATTAAGAGGGAGACAGATCTCTATGAGTCCAAGGACACCCAGATCTACACAAGAGTGATCCAATCCTAAAGAGAAACAGCTCACACAAAGATGATCTCAGCACCTGGGATCACATGCCTTTATTCCCAGCACTAGAGGGAGCAGGATCTTCAGTAGTCAGTAGCAACATTCATTTTCCAGCCACACTGGGGATAGGAAGACATTCAGTCTCAGGATTCTCCAGCCACACTGAGAGGCAGCAGGATCAGCCCATTCAGCCTGAGGTAGTACAAGAGCTAGTGGCCAGCTACTTTGCCTTTTTAATCTTCAGCTTGAAGTTTGAGCCCCAATGTCATCAGCTCTGGGTCTTTTATTTATTTGTGCTACACTCAACTTTATTCCAGAGTGAAGGGGAATAAATGATGGGGTCAGAGGCTGGTACATCACCTAAGTGCATTTAACAGCACGTTCCTATCATAGGACTCCTAGTACAAATCTAATTGCCATGGGCAGCAAGGGCAAAGCTTCTGCAGGGGACGGTGTCAAGGGTCACAATAGAAACAAATCAGGCATCTGGGCCTAGAGACATTCTCCAGAAAGTGACCTTTCTGATAAAGAGTAGGGAGTCCTCCATGCTAAACTCGGAGAGAGCTGCCAGACCCTGCAGACTGCAACCTCTGACCAGCAGGGCCTCCCAACAGGAGTGGTCAATGACCATAGACACTATAGCGCCAATCTACCTTTTCAGGCAGGTTTTCTTTTTTGTGAGTATTGGTGTTTGCCTACATATATGTCTATGCTATGTCTGTGCACCACATGTGTGCCTAGTGCTTGCACAGGCCAGAAGACCCCACTGGATCCCCTGGAACTGCAGTGACAGATGGTTGTGAACCACCATGTGAGTGTTGAGATTGAATCTCAGTCCCCTGGAAAAGTAGCCAATGCTATTAACTGCTAGTGTGTGTGTGTGTGTGTGTGTGTGAGAGAGAGAGAGAGAGAGAGAGAGAGAGAGAGAGAGAGAGCGAACTCGTGATCAGAAGACAACTTTAGAAAACTGGTTCTCTCCTTCCACCATTTGTGTTCCACGTATCAAAATCAGGTCGCCAGGCTTGGCAGCAAGCCCCTTTATCCACTGAGCCATCTTACCCTCCTCAAGCCAGCTAATGTCCAACCAGCTATCTAACAGTAGCACGGGAGCTTTGAGGTACATGTGGATAGGACTTCCTGGGAGAGTGGGAGAAGCTGACAGTCAAAGATTCTTCTGGGGTACAGTACTGGGGCACTGCAGAGGAAGGCTTGGTCAGGCACCCAACAGCAGACTCCCAGTGTCCTTCCTCAAATTCCTCTAATTAGGAGGTTTGCATGAGCAGTCCCCACGTCTGGGACACAAGCTCTGGGGAATAGGTATTTAGTGAAGAGCTTAGCAAAGCAAGGAACTAGTACACTTCAGACTGCATTTTGGTTTAGCTAATTAAGTTGGGCATTGTTCCTTACTAACCAAGTCCTTGCTTTATATATGCAAATAGTAGAGGGTGTGGTGTTGGAATTCAGAGTAATCCAATTCATCTACATAACCATCTCCACTCACCAGAAGATCCAGATTCCCCAAGGCTTCTATTGTTTCTATTGTTGTGATAAACACCATAAACAAAAGCAACTTGGAAGAATGGGTTTATTTTAGTTTACATCATCCATGGAGGTGGAGGTCAGGGCTGGAAAAGGATGCAGGAACTGATGCAGAGACAATAAAGGAATGCTGCCTACTGGCTTGCTCAGCCTGCTTTCTTGTACCATCCTAGACCTGCCCAGTGTGTGGTACCTCCCACATCAATCATTAATCAAAGACGTCCAACAGAGTTGCCTACAAGGCCAGTCTGATGGAGGCATTTTCTCAATTAAGATTCCCTTTTAACAGATATGTCTAGGTTGTGTCAAGTTGACAAAAGGTATCTGGCACACCAGGAGACCCAACAAATTCTTTCTGGCTGCTTCCTCATAACTCTGGTGCCTCGGAAGCAGAGATCTGAAGAATCAAGAATGAGGTCCATAATTTGGTGGGCTAGTTCCAGTCCTAGTCATGTGAGTTGTGGAGTGACACTAATGGCAACCAAGGGGATTTAAACATCAGATTAAACCCCCATATTGGCCCTTGGAGAAATGTTATGGCCTCAATTATGCCTCTACTCCCTATTCATCTGTTGAAAACCCTTCGGACCTCCAAATGTCATTGTATTGTATTTAAAGTGGTAAATAATGTAAAACAGCCATTAAGGTAGGTTCTATTCCAACCTAACAGTTGTCCTTAAAAGTAGCCACTAAAAGGAGGAGGAGAAGAAATCAGAGCATACTAGGAGACAAAGCTAGTGGGCATCTAACAAACAGTTCAGAGAAGAAACCAAATTCTTCACAACATGATGCTGGACGTCTAGCCTCCAGAACTGAGAAAACAAATTTCCACTATTTATTCAATCTAATCTGTAGTAATTTAGGCATCACTAACAAGCTAAGGCAAGGGGGAGTGGTAGGCAACATCAAAAGACAGACTACAGGTTAAGGAGAAAGACTGGTAGTGGTGGGCTAATTACTGATGGGAGAGTTTCCACCGTATTCCTAGAGGAAGGAAGGACATAAGCAGAAATCCAGCCTGTACTAATCAGGGTTCTCCAGAGGAACAGAACCAGTAGGATGAGTGTGTATTATATAAGGTAATGTATTTAGGCTGACTTACACAATAGGGGCTGGATAATCCAATGCCCAGAACCCTGTAGCTAGCTGCTCAGTCCATAAACCTGGATGTCTCAGCAGTCCCAGTCTGAAGCTGAAGGCCTGGAGGATTCCTTGAGGAGCTGGTGGTCTTTAGTCCATCTTGGAAGGCTAAAGTGCTGAGTTCTTGTGGCAGCAACAATGGGGTAGATTCACTCACCAGCAAGAAGCCAAGGTGGGCTAATAAGTAGCACTGCTCGTCTTCTCCTCAAACCTCTTTATATTCCGGCCACTGTGGGGAATGGTTTACCCACTCTTAGGGCCTTTTCCCTTCAGTTAATCCTTCCTGGAAATGACCTTACAAACCAACCCAGAGGCATGTCTCTTAGTTGATTACAGATGCAACTAAGTTGACAATCCAGATACACTGTCATAATATATAATATATAGTAAGCTGCAAACTGCTTTGTGTTTCTGCTTAAGACTCAGGGTATAACATTAGATCTCTGCATATTTAACAAAGCTGGGATTCTAGCTCTGTAAAACTAGTAGATGACAACTTTACTAAGGTATTGACATCCCAAATGACATATCTAAAGCAGTAACGTTTTACCATTTTAGAGTACTAGTAAGAGAGTATATATAGGGGTTGGAGAGATGGCTCAGTGGTTAAGTACTAGCTACTTTTCCAGAGGACCTGAGTTCAATTCCCAGCAACCACACAGTGACTCACAACCATCTGTAATGACATCTGGTGCCCTCTTCTGGCCTGAAGGTGTACATGCAGGCAGAACACTCTACATAATAAATATTGAACTTTTAAAAAAGAGAGTATACATTTTAAATAAATCCTATCATATAACTGCTCTTAATTGCCATCTAACAGTCACTACTGTAGTGAGAATTATATTCCTGGAAGCATGCCATAGGCCTGAAACATCTTCAGAAGGAGGTTAAGGTTAAACAGTTCGTTTATACCATATTCTACCAGAAGTAAGCCACTGTATGGAAAGTATTTGAGACATAAGCTTCTCTTAAAAAAAAAAAAAAAAAAAAAAAAAATCACACACACTTTTTTCAGTGATGCTGATTGCAAAATACATCTAGGTGGTAAACAGAGTGAGACCAAGCTGAGTATACCACCATCTTCTGATGGCCAGCCATGTGACTATTCCCAAGTACATTATTAACTCTACAATGCTTAAAGTAGACAGGATCATGCAGATACGGACTCCTGTTGGTGGAGGGCGCTGGAAGTATGAGTGTCCAGAGAGCAATAGACAGGGCTCTCACACCTGCTATACACACCTCTGGTTCTCTTCCTTTTGACTCTCAGTATTTCAACAAATCCTGCCACTCTCCATAGTTCTAATGCATGTCTCCCCTTAACTCCATCCAGAAGGATCATCTTTTCATGGTTCATTAATTCTAAGTGAAAATTTACCTGAACTATTTCTTGTATAATATCTAATGAAACACTTGTTGATAAGACTCCACACAAGCCAGGCATTGATATTGATCCCAGCACTTGGGAGGTGGAGGCAGAAGCAGACAGAGGCAGAGAGATCTCTGGAAGTTCAAGGCCAGTCTGATCTACAGAGTGAATTCCAGGACAGTCAGGTCTACATAGAAAAAAACCTGTCTTGAAAAACAAAACAAAACTCAAGTACAAAATTCTATTTATTTTGAATGCTAAAAGCAACACAAAAGTGGACCAACCTACTAAATTTTAAGTCTAGCATAATTTTCAACAGAAAACTTATGTTTGATAAAATTTAAAAACAACACATCACAATTAACAGTATCTAACCAGCAGCCTCCATGTGGCTGAGGATAGCTACAGAGTCATAAACTGATAGCACAGAGGTTTTTTGAGATGTTTTTACATGTGTGTAATTTGATTTTTTTCTTTGATTCTTGACTAAAGTTTGTATATGACATCTGTTATAATGTCAAAAGACTGGACACGCCCACAAGTCTAGAGTTTTAGTGTTACACAAAATGTAAGCAAATACATACTAGAGACTTGACTGAGAGCTCAAAAAGCAACAGCCATGGGAGGAGCAGCGTTTACAAATACTCTTAGCAAGCTGAATATGGGATTTTTCAACACAGTAGAAATCAGAGCTTCCTGGGATAGAGAGGATGGTTTAGAGCAGTCCATGTAATAAGCTTTGCAATTAAATCTTATTTCTAGACTCTTGGTTTGGGACTCTTCGTCTAAAATGACTTCTGCCGAAAGACAGAGTGAAAAGATCCATGCCTTTTCATTTCCAACTTTTTGTCACCAGGCTCCTGTCACAATAAAACAGGGGTTGCCTTCCAACAAAGAATTGCTACTGTATAGACAAACCTCTCTGGTTTAGATTTCCCTATCACAAACAGAGATACTTGCCATGGACCACTCTAGATCCAGTTTCTTTGTTTCATTCTGCTACAAAACACTGCTTGGCTACAAAATCTGGGGCTCACAGAACAGCAGTACTGCTCGGTTTCCATGGTCACAAGATATTGATATCTTCATCGGCCACACCTTTTTTCATTATCTTGTCCATTATTTCTTTCGGAATTCAATCCTCCGAGCAACATTCTGAGCTCCAAATTTTTTGATCAATGCATTTCTAGTGTCTTCATCATCCTTTTGCAAATCTAAGTCATCTTGCCGGGACCAAATTGGATAACCATCAGACCTTTGACCAGACTCTAAGAAGGAGGAAGTGGCCTCCAGCTCACCACTGTTTTTCAGGAAAGCCTGTGTAACTGTTGATAGATCCAAGTTAAACTTTTCCATTAGTTGCCGGATGATTTTGATGGCAGTTCCCACTTCTTGTGTAGAAACTTTTGGCTCCTCTTCCTCCTCATCTGGCTGTGTTTCAGAATCTTCCTCAGGTGTGGGAGGATCATCATCACACATGGTTATATGTATTTCAAAGTCAGGACTCTCACCCACCTATAAAGATGGAGTAAAGAGACCAGTTTGCATTTATTTAGCCTTGAACTCTTACAATATGTATCTTCCTGACTACCATTCCCTGGCTCTTCACACAACATCACACAGGCCTGCTCCCTTCAGTTCCTCTCATACATCTTTATTTATGTTGACTTGTGCACATACATATATAGGCGGACAAGATATAGATGAAATGTTGTACACATCTATACATATATATTTAACTGATTAAAATAAGGAATGTGTGAGAGACAGCATGTGTAACCTGTATGATAGTAGATCACTTGTTAAATGCCTGACTTTGCTTAGAGATGGGTGTGGTGCTATGTCCCTATAACCCCAGCATTCCTGACAGAAGAATCCCCCATAAATTCAGGGCAGTTTTGGCTATACAGTGAGACAGTGTTTCATGTAGTCAGTCCAATTGGCCTTGAATTTACTATTACTTTTAACTTCTTTTTATAATTTGAGACAAAGTACCCCAGGGTAGCTTCAGAAATAATATAGCCAAGGGTAAATCATAGCCATGTCCTTACTTTTGTTTTGTTTTGTTTTTCTCACTATGTAGCTCTGGCTATCCTTGTACTCACTATGTAGACCAAGCTAGCCTGGAACACACAGAGATCTGTGTGCCCTTTCTTTCCATAACCACTTTCTTTTGTGTTAATAAGGCAGCTTAATTCAGGGCCAGCAAGATGGTTGGGCAGGTTAAAACACTTGCTGCCAATCCGGACACCTGAGTTCAGTCTCCGGGAGCTACTGGCCTAGCGCCATACCAGGCCATGCCGCGCTGCACTGCACCATGACGCTCAGCTCCACTCTTGACTACCAGAAATCACTCAAGGCAGCCCACTAAAAATAATCTTTCTCCTACTCACATGACAAAAGCTAGCCCCAATCTCAACTTTCTTTCAAATTCACAAATTTATTAATCTAGATCTACTAATTGCATCATCCTGAGTCTCAGTTTTAATTGGAGCGTGAAATGGGCTTAACCAACACAAACCCGAAACATTATGGTCTATTCATCTATTGCCCACATAGGGTGAATAGTCTCCATCTTACCCTATAACCTATCACTCGCCATAATTAACCTTTTCATCTACATTGTATTAACACTAGCTATACTCTCAATCCTCCATCCACACTCTCTCATCTCAATCTACGAAATAAAATGCCCATTATACTTCCCTCAATATCCCTATTTCTGCTATCCACGGGAGGACTTCCACCACTAACAGGGTTTTCACCCAAATGACTTATCATTACAGAACTTTCAAAAAAATAATAACCACATTCTAGCTACATTAATAGCAATTATACCTCTAATCAACCTATTCATCTGTACATGCCTAATCTACTCCACCCCACTAACCACATTTCCAACAAACAATTCAAAATATTTTCCCACCAAATAATTATAAAAAAAATGTATTTCTTTATCATCTATAATTATCCTCAGCTACATAGAAGAAGGAGAGGACAGAATTACTATCCAATAAATAAAACTATAATAAAATTTTTAAATGTTTGTTTTGCTTTGGGTTTTTTTTTTTGGTTATTGCTGTAGACAGAGCACTACTACCACCTGGCTTAAATGTTTTTAAAAAGTTAATTCACAAGATCTTTATTCCACACAAATACAATTTGTATTAAGAAAATAAATTAGTCATCATCATTATTTTGCCATACCTGCCTTTCTCAAAATCTGTTATTGTGGGATTCCAATAGAGTAATCAAAGACAAACTGAATATAAAAGAACAAAAATATTTCCAAAGAGCAAGGCAGTGGTGGCACACACCTTTAATCTGAGCACTCATGAGACAGAGGCAGGTGGATCTCTGAGTTTGAGGCAGCCTGGTCTACAGCGGGAGTTTTGGATGGTCAAGGCTACACAGAGAAACCCTGTCTTGAAAAACAAAAGAAAATTTTCTTTGGAAACCTAAATGTTTAAACAAAACTACTACAAATTTTTTGAAATTTAGCCTCATGCTCCCAAGATGCATAGGAACATTCTAAATGGACAAAAAACTGTTGTACCTTTGAAAAGCACATGCTGAGATCAAAGCATAATACTTTACACTGTTAAAACACAACCATTCCAGCTGGGCAGTGGTGGCACATGCCTTTAATCCCAGCACTTGGGAGGCAGAGTCAGGCGGATCTCTGTGGGTTCTGAGGCCAGCCTGGTCTACAGAGTGAGTGCCAGGATAGGCTCCAAAGCTACACAGAGAAACCCTGTCTCAAAAAAACAAAACAAAACAAGACAAACAACAACAACAACAAAAAAAAAAACCCACAACATTCCTTGGCACATGTCTTTTGATCCCAGCACTCAGAAGGGAGAGTCAGTTCCAGATAGCCTGGTCAACATAGCAAATTATAAGCCATCAATGGCTACATAGTGATACCCTATCTCAAAGAAAAACAAAAGAAAAAAACAAAAATAACTATCCCTATTCATGTGATTTTTTTTCCCCTCTGCCACTCATATCCTCCAAATACTAAAAGCTTTGTGAAGCCTAAAGCCAGATCACATCTCTTTTCTCTCCTGTTTTATCTTGAACTTCTCTCTTAAGTTCTTAGTCTCAGGTGAATGAAAAGCATAGTTTAATAACCAAACACAAATGGAGGCAAGAGGGAAAAATGAGTAAATTGAGCTAATATACCACAGCTTCTTCAAACTCCCGAGTGGCTTCCTCAAAGAGTTTTTTGACTGATTCATCATTCTCCTTGGTCTCTCCCTTCACACACTCTTCTTCAGGCAAGTCTGGTGTTCTCTTGTTTTGTGGTTCTAGTAAAGAAAAGAACAGGAGGTCAGCATGGCTCATCTGCACCAATCATATCTATCAGTTCTGTGCATGCAGATTTTCTTCTTTTAGAAAATACCTGTTTATTACTGGGTGGTGGTGGCACAGAGGCAGGTGAATCTCTGTAAGTTCGAGACCAGCGTGGTCTACAAAAGCTAGTTCCAGTATAGCCTCCAAAGCAACAGAGAAACCCTGTCTCAAAAAACCAAAAACAAGTTTGGTGCAGTGCAGTGACGCATGCCTTTAATCCCAGCACTCACCAACAAGAGGCAGTGGAAGCAGGAGATAAACATGTTGAGCTGAAAAAAGGTACTGCCTTGTGGTAGAGTGTAGATAAAAACATGGGTTTCAGGCATTGGTGGCGCATACCTTTAACCCCAGCACTTGGGAGGAAGAGGCAAGTGGATCTCTGTGAGTTCAAGGCCAGCCTGATCTACTCTACAAAGCTAGTTCCAGGACAGGCTCTAAAGTAATACGAGAAACCCTTTCTAGAAAGAAAAAAAAAAAAAAAAAGGAAGGAAGGAAGAAATATGAGTTAATTTAAGTTGTAAGAGCTAATTAGTAACAAGCCTAAGCTATCAGATGAGTATTTATAATAAGTCTCTGTGTGGTTATTTGGGAGCCAGCTGGTGAGACAGAAAAGTCTGCCTACAAAGATGCATCTATATATCTAAGTCTGAGGATAGCCTGGTCAATATAGCTAATTCTAGGTCAGCCAGGGCTACATAATGACACTCTGTCTTGAAACAGAGAGAGTGAGCAGGAAGCAAGCTGTAAAACAAACTGTTGCAAACAAATTGATATCTAGTTGTTAGTATTATTACTATGAGCAAAGGGGACAAACAAGACAGACAAGAGACAACAGCAGCTACTCCCAGGACAGAAGCCAGGAGAAAAGTATTTAGCAGGAGACTAATTTCACTATGCACTGTTTAGAATAAATTCCTCAAAGCACAAATGCCATTTAAGAAAACATTTTTTAGCTAGTTGGTGGTGGCTCACACCTTTAATCCCAGCACTTGGGAGGCAGAGGCCAGCCAAGTCTACAAAGTAAGTTCCAGGACAGCCATGGCTATACAGAGAAAAAACAAAAAACAAAAAAAAAAAAAAAAAAGAGAGAGAGAGAGAGAGAAAAGAGAGACAGAACATTTTAAATGTCAGGTACTGTCAAAGTGTCCAGCAAAAAAAAAAAAAAAAAAAAAAAAAACTGTATAAAGTCCCTTCTATTAACAACGCAGAAATACACTTGTTTTCTCGGATCTTACTAGCTTACGATATTACTAATTCTGATTTTTTAAAAACAATTTTATAGATAAAAACATCAAAATTCCTTGCTATGACTTATTTATTTATTTATTTATTCATTCATTCATTTATTTATTTATTTATTTCAAGACAGGGTTCTCTGTGTAACTGCCCTGGCTGTCTTGGAACTCACTCTGTAGACCAGGTTGGCCTCAAATTCACAGAGATCCACCTAGCTCTGCTTCCTGAGTGCTGGGACTAAAGATATGTGTTGCCACCACCCAGCTTCAATTTTCCTTTTTTTCTTTAAACAACCCCCAAACATCTTTTTCTTTGGGGGGGAGGGTTACTCAAGACAGGATTTCTCTGGGTAGCCCTGGCTGACCTGGAATTTCCTATGTAGAACAGGCTGGCCTCAAGCTCAGACATTCACCTGCCTCCGCCTCCTGAGTACTGGGATTAAAGGTGTGTACCTCCACCCCAGCTAAGTGATTTTTAATAAAAGGGTCCTAAATGATAACCACCCATATACATGGCCCTAACCTCATAACTAGAAGTATCTTTTAAGTCATTCCAACCAAGCTATTTAATACTCCGTGGCCCAGCCACATTCACACATCAGGGCCCTTGCACTCGCTATTTCTTTTGTTTGAAATCCTCTTCCCACTGTCCGGTAGTCCCAGCCTCTCCGGAGGCTGACACAGAAAGATAATTTCAACCACAGAGTTTGGGGACCGCAGGAGCAACACAGCGAGACCTCAAGTTCCCTGCTCTCCCGAATCCAAACCAATCAACAAATAACACCCAGTCAATGGGAAGGAAAAGTTAGTGAGAACGTAAAACCAGAGAGCAAGGGATTAAGAGAAAATGATGCACTTTCACCTGGACCTCAACAAAGAAGGGACTGAGTTATGCCAGTGGCGCCAAAACGGATGCTGACGGACAGGCAGCCCAGGTCCCAGGTAGTTCAAACCTCACCTCCGCTATCCGCAGCCTCGGGGTCCTGTTCAGCCTTCCGCTTGAGCTTCTGGGAGGACGGGCTGACCGGGGCGTCTCCCAACAGGTACTTGTGCTCCTGGCCCCGCAGGTGCTTGAGATAGCGGTCCTTGAGCGACTGCCAGGAGTGCTGCGTGAGCGAGCTCTTCTCCATCGCTTTCCACAAGGCGTTGCCTGTGACCGAGTTGGGCGAGCGGGCGTTTTCCTTCACGTAGGTCAGGATGGCCACGTCGTCCGCGTCCGTGAAGGCGAGGCGCCCGGTCAGAGGCTGCGGCTCCAGCTCCGTGGAGCCGTCGGTGGAAGCCCCGGGCTTTGTGTCTGGAGCCTGCTCCGTCAGTCCCAGCCGGTATGCCTCCAGCTCCAGCCTCTCGTTGCGCTCCACGCAGTCTAGTATATACTGCGTGGAGATGAAGTCGCCCGAGGCCTCGGCCAGCGCCTCCCCGGGCTGGGCCAGCAGCACGGCCCCGGGCTCCTGCACCCGGCACACGGTTCCGCCACCGTGCAGGATTAGCGTCGACAGCCGGCGCTTGGCGGGGCTGGGCCGCACGTAAAACGACATAGAGCTCCCGTCTCCCCTCATGAACAGAGTGGAGGAATGAGTGTGCCCATTGGGGTCTTTACCCAGATCCATTGCCTCCGCCATACCTGTCACTCCGCTACACAACAGCCGGTCAAAGATTGCGCTCCGAGAACGCCGAGGAAGAGATTGACACTTTGGCGGCAGAGTCCAGCAGTGCGCCTGCGCGGCGAGAGCCCGCCCTCTTCCCCGGAAGAGGCGGGACTTCGGGCCCTGACCTGGAAGTTCTAGCTTTACGCTGGTCATCTTTTTTTTTTTTTTTTTAGGCCGGGTGGTGGGGAAGATGGCCACGCTGCAGGAGAGTGAAGTAAAAGTGGATGGCGAGCCGAAACTAAGCAAGAAGTAAGTGTCGCTGAAGTGTGTCTGTCGCAGTGGCCCGATGGGAAGGAGTCTCTTCCCCAAGGCAACTGTGCCAGGGGCCTCTCTTCCTTCTCCGGTAGGTGAGCACATGTTGGGACAGAGATGCAGTGCCCTGGAAACTACAGCCTGCTGGATGCCCTGGGGGGCAACTGTCCTGGCTGGTGGGTTCCCTGATCCTAACTATAGGGACGAACTTGCGGAGGGGAAGCTGGCACAGAAACTGGGAGATGACAGGAAAGAAAAGTGAAACTAACTTTTCCTCTACCTTTTAAGAAACGCTTTTTAAAATTGAACCACTCCCCCTCCCCCGCCCTCCCATGAATAGATCAGAACATGGCCAAATATCTTAGATCTTCAAAGAAGAACCTGTCGGGTGTTCGGTTCACGAGGGTCTGTGGAAGAGACAGGGCGGCCGTGGGGGAGTCAGCTTCTGGTGAACTGACTGTAGCTCCTCAAAAGGCTTTTTTATTGTTATACAATTTAATCCTAGCAAGTCAGTTTCCGCATACCACAACCTCTTATCTGAAGCTCCCCCAAAAGACAAATGCCAAAAGCGATTCCCGGTCACAAGACATCTCAGTTTTTTGTGTCCTCCCACAACCAAGTTTTGCATAGGCTCGAAACCTTTTGGGAAGCACTTTACATACTTCAAACGGGAATCAGACCAGCTGCAATGCTCTGCGGGAACTCCTGTTCCAAGAACCTTGAAATTTTTTTCCTGGCCTCGCTAAGGTATTCTGCACCTTATTTGTTAAAAAGGGGTCCATTCTGAAACGGTGGTGCATCTACAAGTGAGCAAATGGTCCTATTCAGCGGGATACACCGGGCTCCCCTTTGCAACGCTGGCTGTAGCTTCATAAACCACTCCAGATCTGAGAGTTATGTAGGTGAATGTGGACAGACAGATCAACCTCCCTTTAACTGACTGTTTATAGAATCTAAATGTTACACTTTCTCTAGTCCAGGGTTCCTCACTTGAACCACAGAACATAAGCAGTGGCTTGACTGTCTACCTGGAAGAACTATGCAGTTAGTGCCCTCCAGAACTGTAGGACATAGTATAGGCTATTACATACTATGGCTGCTTTAGTTACTGCACTAGCAATCAATCCTCATATTGAGCCCTGAGGGAAATACTAGAGACGTTCTACTTAAGAACTGATTTTGTTTTCCTTCTACTTTGTGTATTTTAGAAGGATTTTAAGGGAAATGCTTAAATTTATAGGTTGCTAGCTCCCTTATAGGCTGTTGAGAATGATTAGATGGCTTCCTTAGAGGAAGTTGGATGGGGTTTATTAAATCATAGTTGAAATTTTGAGCAATTGATGAATGAAAGTACCTCAGTTAAGAAAGCCTTACAGCTCTTTTCAAATGACTTTTCCTTGTGTTTTGGGGCACATTTACCTGTTAAACACCATGCTGGGACTATACAAACTGTCTACTCTCATCTCAGTAGTGATCTTGCAAGAGAAATATTAATGCCCACTTTTCAAATTCACAAATGATGGCCCTGGGTGATTATTTTTATGTAAAAATGTATGTTACTAGAGGTTGGGGGTGGGATGGCTTAGTGGTAAAATGATTGCTTCCATGCACAATGTCCTAATAATAAAAGTGTATGTTCTTGACATGTCTTCTAGCACTGATCTGAAGCACTGGAATAGAAATCTAAATTGATGTCTATGTCAAGTTTGATCCTCAATTGTCTAAAATAAATCAGGTGTATTTTGTGTATTTTGAGATAGGGTTTCTCTGGGTAGCCCTGGGTGTCCTGAAACTTGCACTGTAGATCAGGTTGGCCTTGAAATCAGGATCTGCCTGCCTCTGCCACCACTGCCTAGCAAAATAAACCAGTTTTGCTGTATATTCCTGGAATTATCATGGGCTGAAATAATTTTGTGATTAACATTTCTTCTTTTTCCTTAATTGTTCTTGTAATTTCTTGGTCTGAAATCTTTACTTAGGGCCATTTTATGCCTGATATTGTCCCCAAAGTTAAACAGTGTATTGGCTCTCTGCTCAAAGCATTCATTCTCAAATGAAAGATTCCTCTTCAAATTACTTAAACACAGTAGAGTGTAGTCCTGATAGATCTGATGCCATCTAGTGTTAATGATACATAAATGTGCTCTTGACTAAGGGCTTATCCTTTCTTCCCTCTTTGTTCCTAAAACTCCACACCGATCTTTCCTTTGACTCAGAGATGCTTTCTTTCATGTCGCTAGTGTTTGTGTGGTTTATTTATTTTCTGGGATGGGATTTCACTATTTGCTAGGCTGTTCTCAAACTCTTAGTTTCAAATGATCCTTCTCATGCCAAGTAGCTGGGACTGTCTAAAATTTGCATTTGATGTTTACATTGTCATCCAGTAGCCAATGTTCCGTCGTAAGGAGAGAAACCGTACCTCTGAACCCACATTTTGCCTTCTATACTAAGGATGTTGTGAGCATTTTTAAATATAAGCTATTATTGGCTTGCCTTTGAGTTTTTAATCCCAGGTAGAAGCTTTCCGTTTTCCATAGTCAGGACTGAGAACATTGCACATGTCAGTCAGGAGGGGCTGAAGTTCAGAGGAACATTGAACATTAGTACAAATCATGGCTCCCCTCCTCAGGAGTACAGATTAAGTGGGTGTATACTGCTTGTCCCCTCTGACTACACATCTCTGTTTCCTGCTAGGTGGTGGTAATCATTAGTTCCAGGGAGCCATGTTGATGCAAGCTGCTGTCAGGCTTGTTAGGGGGTCCCTGCGCCAAACCTCGTGGGCAGAATGGGGTCAGAGGGAACTTCGACTGGGTCAACTGGCTCCTTTCACAACGTTCCACAAGGACAAGCCACTTTCTGATAGAAGAAGGTTGGTGCCATTGCCTTCTTTATTGCTCTGGGAGCAGAATCTTTCCTTAGATGTCTATAGCTGGCTAAGTCTTTGGACATGTTAAGGAGACAGATCTCAATTGCCCAAGCCAAGAATCCCTTCCTACTTTACAGGTTCAGAGTCCCTCTCCTTGTAGTCCCTTCTCCTTTCTTTTTCCTCTTTACTCCTTTGACTATTTTTTGTTTATTGAGACAGGGTGTTATTTTATAGGCCAGGCTGTCCTTAAACTCACTGTGTAATGAAGGCTGGCCTTAAACTAATGGTCTTTCTGCGTTCTAGTCCCATTACAGGATTACGGGCATGTGCTATATCACCCTGCATTAAATAAGGAATTTCCAATGCTGGTTATTCTCCCTTTCTTTCTGGGGTTTGTTTATCAACTTTGTCCTAGTTTTGGTGCTACCATTAGGATCTTTTTTGGGTTGTCCTTAGAATCTACAAGAGCAAAAGCTGAATGAAGTAGAAAACAGATTTATCTTAATATTGGGGGAGGGGAGCAGATAGTAGTCTTGCTCAATGAATTACAGAATGATAGACCTAGCATATTGTGAGCAAGAAAACAACTTACAAGACTCATTGTATCTAGAAAGAGTTGTCTATTTTCAAACCAGCACAATTATTTTGCTCTTATAAGTTCTAACCCCTTTCCCCCAGACAGGGTTTCTCTGTGTAGTCTTGGCTGTTGTGGACCAGGGTGGCCTCAAACTCAGAAATCCACCTGCCTCTGCTTCTCTCTCTCTCTCTCTCTCTCCCTCTCTCTCTCTCTCTCCCCCCCCCCCCCCCCCCCCCCCCCTCTCCCTCTCCCTCTCCCTCTCCCTCTCCCTCTCCCTCTTCCCCCCACTAAATCCATATTGAAAATAACAGTGGTACATATCTATAATCCTTGGAACTCAGGAGGCTGAGAGAGAAGGGTTGCAAGTTCAAGTCCAATTAATTTAGCAGTCCTATTTCAAAATTAAAGAGGAGCTTGGGGGTATTCAGTGTTAGACCTTTTGCTTGGCACACTTGGAGCCCTGGGTTTAACCTCTAGTACTACAAAATAAACAAAAGAAAGTGAAGGGTGTATTTTAAAGCCAGACTCCTGGCCATTTTGGTGCACTACTTGGGAGGTAGAGGCAGGCAGATCTCTGTGAGTTCAGGGCCATCCTGATCTACAAAGTTCCAGCACAGCCAAGCTACACAGAGAAACCCTATTTTGATGAACAAACCAGCAACAACAACAAATAAAGCCAGATAATATTCAAGCATGACTTAGAATCTTTTGACATGATTCACACTATTAAAGAGTTATTGGTTGGAAAGAATGATCCATGAATTCTCTTTGAATAACGAAGATTTTCATGTCTATTCAAGTAAGGTTTTTCTTCCTGGATTTAGATAGCAAGTTCGGATCATAAGGGTCACAGAGTTTCCCCATTGTTTTAGATTTTGAGTTTCACATAACATGTATGAAATTTAGATAATGAGAGACTTGATGAGAAATACATCCATATTTGTCTGGCTTCTGTCCTGGAGGCAGAATGTGAAGAGTTAGGTAGTAAAAGATTCCAGAATTCACTTTTGAGTGCTAACTAAGCTCTGGGACCTGATTGTTCCTTTATAACATCTCAGGCCTCACAACTAGTGAGAGGACATCTTATTTCCTTTTTCTAGATGATAAGGAGTCATTTGCTCAAGGCCACTTAAGTGGTTAGTGTGTTAGAATTTAGTGAGAGGCTGTTTGACTATAAACATGGCATGATAGTCACTATACAATGCTGCTTTGTATAGTATTCCATTCTGGTTTTAGAGTCAGCAGTTTTGGTTTTTGTTGTTGTTTTGTTTTGGGCTGAGTCTCAGAATGGCCTCTAATTCTCTAGGTAGCAGCAGAT